TGACCGAGTTGCGAAAACAAGGCCAAACAACTTCTATGAAGAAATTATTTTTTGATTTGGACTAGACGATGTTGTTTGCAGAATGACTTTGAGCTTTGCATCCTAGATATTGATGACAAAGCTGGCTTGCCAATGGAATGCCATTTATATTCCTTTTGTCACTAGTTTAACTTCTTTAACCAAAATTTTTTTAGGGACTTCGAGCAACTTGCTGTTGAGCTGCAGGCACACTGCTATCGACATGACCCGGAGCAGACAAAAAGATTGCTTACCTATGAGCTAAAAACCTTTTCCAAAAACACTTGCCTCAGCCTAGCCTATATGTGCGGATCAAAAGTATTTCTCAGCCACGCTTGCACACAATCCATACTCAATGACCTTTGGTACGGTGGCCTACGTGAAGGGAAGTGGGTTGGTGGCAAGGTGGCCCTTATCTTAATGGGGCTTGCATTGCCACCCCTTTACCCACTTATCGGTTATCTTTTTTCTGCGCAGAGTAAATTTCTCGAATTTAAAACAAAGGAGGAACTGGCCAGGCAACCACAAACATTAGAGGAGTATCTGGATGAAATGGAGGAATCATCTTCATCATCTGATTCTTCTTCATGCTCGAGCTTTTCATCCGGCTCTTGTTCATCAGATTCGTCAAGCGGCGATGGTTCCTTAATGTGAGTGTGTAATGCTTAAGGATAATACTTTAAAGGGTTTTTGTAACCTTTGATATCCGATTACGGATCCTAAAAGTGTAACTTTGCCCTGAATTTATTCGATTTACTTAGGGTTAGTTCCATCGACCCATTTTGGCAATATATTATGATTATTTTCTCAATTCCACTGATCGAGCTAATTATATAGATTATATAATGCAAATATTGCATTAACATTTGATCATCTAATTTTTCTTTATACTAGGAAATGTCAGTAAAGGTCACACTGTTTTAAAAACATTTAATTTTAAACCAAGCCTTGAGTAGAAGTAGGTTGGCTCTATTTTCCCAACTTAGTCATATTCTCAGGGAGGCTATTGTAGTCACTATAATTTCAAGCGCCGAGCCGTGAAAATGTACCAAGCCAACGGTTCGGCGCTGCAGAGGGCAAGTTGCCATTCTTCTAACTATTCATCAATTACCTTTGGATTTGCCACTTATTTACCTCGGTAATATCATTTGAATGGACTGTACTGATGTAAAGAGCCTTTTGATAATTGCATATAACAGCTCTCAGCCAGTAAAAAGATTTAAAAGAGCCAGTTTTGCCCACTCAGAGTAAGCCCTCAAATTTTTATCCTATACTAAACTATAGTTATTTTGCTCAATAGTGAAGATAAGAATCCGGAGTTCACACTTTAGCCTAATAATATCAGCTTCTCTCAGTAGACCCAAGTTAAGGAGATTTATTTTACATCATAGTTTACAATATAGACATATACTAAAACCTTGCAGTATTAACTTGTTCTCGATTTTTACTGTCCGTTTATCTTGGATGATTAAACGCCGTATACCTGTAATTCGTTTTCATTTTGCTTTGTTATCTCTCTTTGACACTCATCCATTATTCGTTACGATGTTTTAGTGATACTGACAATGGAACTACTGGGGGGAAAGCAAAGCACCGGCATTATCATCGTCAGCGCAATCGTCGCCGTGCAACCGTACACCAAATGCAACCTAACTGCACACCAAAGATACCCGCCGAAATTATCGTATGTCATTTTCTATTTCTCCTGTCTCTTTCAGCCAACTAGAAAAAATAAGATTTATTTCTATCTAGTCATAATCAATGAACAATGCTTAGGAAGATTGACATTAATAATCACACAGTTCATTCTTTGAGCCTGTGTAGTATGACTGATTTTGCGTAAATTTATGACAATCATAAGTGTTGCCCTGCTTTTGGAGATCCGATGCAATCTTCTTCGGTATTTTGGTTAATTGTATGTTTATAGGGTTTAAAAAAGTATTTAATAGGCATGGTGCATAATCTCACCCTTCTTCAGTTTCTTCACATTTCACTTGCGCTCGTATAGGGGACATTTT